GACCTTTTTCTTGATGCATGCATGCAAGAGTATTCTTTATACTTCATGGAAATGATTAATGATCTATTAACTATAGCCATGCCAGAAAAAAACTGCTATAAATCACAAACCAACTGCCAATACAGGATGCTGTGATTTTAGATCAGATAAAGGAAAAAGGCAATACTATCCAAATTCTATTCAGAAAAATTTTACATACCCAGACCTAGTCATTATTTTTTTCCTTTCAAAGAGAGCTGCTACTGTATTTTCAGTTTGGGGAAGTATTGCTTATACTTCCCTATTACAGATTACAAACTATCATCATCTCTGGCCTTTGTTCAAACCAAGAGGTCTTAAAGAGTGATTGGCTGGTAGATTTTTTTGTTGTTGTATTTCATTAATAAGATGAATCAGCAATTTTTACAATAACTTCTTAATTCAACTCTAGTTTATGCCTGGTAAAGAAGAAAAATTCCATACCTTCTAAAAGAAGAAATGCAAAGAAAATGCAAAAACAGATCACGTAGGTTGCATGTGGGTCGCAGCACATGGAAGCTTCATGGATAGAGACTTCAGGTTTCTGGGAATGGCCAGTGGATTGCCAAATGCCAATGTCTCGGCTTGGCACAGAATCACGAGCCACCACACAGCTTTGTAGGTTCAAACAGCAATTCTTTATTCCTGATCTCACACCGCCTCCACACAGGTTCAGGGGCAATCCCCATCCCCCACACACACACAATTCATGTCCTAAATACTTTCTCTCCAGGAGAACTCAGCGGGAACTCAGGCAGCAGGCACGCCCTACTCCCAGCAGGAATAATCTTCAACCTCCAACTTCCCTAAAACTCCTATTGTCACGCCCTAAACCCAAGGAAGGGGATACTTCCTGCAGGATACACCCTAATCCTGGATCCACCCTGGTCATATTGAGCAGGGTCACCTTTCTCAAACACATAAGCAAGGTCACAAGCAAATTTCCAAGGCAAGTCCATTTAACATAGGGTATGCTGGCAAGGATTACGATGGTTATTCCTACTTGGTAATGGCTCTCAGCAGTGGATGTTTCCTCTGGTCAGTTGCCCAGGGACAATGTGAATCTCTTTCCTGCTCTGCCATGGCCCACACAGCACCTGAGATGGGTGTGACCTGCCAAGATGTCAATCAACCGGCTGACTGCAAGATATCAAAAAACAAGACTCTGCCCTTGAAACCTTATCCCTGCCTTTGATGTACCCCCTTAAATAAACCACCAGAGCCATTTTCCCTTTGTCTAGTTCCAGGGCTTCGCATTATATAAATATATTTCTGAGTATCTCTGTTTTGTTACTTATTAATTATCTGAGATTATAACTTTTATGGTGGCTTGGTTTCCCCTGGACAGAAAGAACTCCTGCAAAGAGATGCTGGCCATCATTCCCCCTTGAAAATGCTGATTTTTACCAAGAATAATATGATCCTTAGAAAGTCTTTTTCTAGCTAAATGATCAGCTTCTGTTTCAATCCCATTTTTTCCATTTGTCCTATAGAAAATTACAAATAATCCACAGGCAAAGTCAGAACAGAGAATATTATTAAAAGGAAAATCTCACACAAATTAAATTTAGCAGTTTATTTGAACAAGGAATGATTCATGAATTGGGCAGTACTCAGAACCAGGAGATGTTTGGAGAGCTCCACCCAGCAACTTATCTAGGCCATATTTATAAACAGGGAAAAAAAAGTGCCCTGTAGAAACAGCTTGATTGGTCATATCTCAGGCATTTACCTAATATGGATATCCTCTGTTAATTGGCAGATTGTGATTGGCTAAGGCTCAGCCACTGTCACTGGTTGAAATTCAGGTATTTATTTTAAGAACATAATCTTAAATTAGGTTTATTTATATATTAAGTCAGAATGAAGTTCACTTTGTTACAGAGGCAGCTTTATACCAAATATAATTCAACAGTATTCATCATTGAATCATGTTATTTTTTTGTATTATTGAGCTTTTTACCTCTGTGCTAATATATTAGATTGGATTGGTTTTTGCTTGTTTATTTAAGTATATGCCACTCTTTTGTTATTAAAATATTAAAGACAATAAGTCCAAAGCCAGATAAAGGCTAGAGATACTTTGTACTGTATTTTAGCACCAAGTTAGGAGCTCAAAGCATTACGATATCTGCTCTAGGCTCATATCTGCATGTGAGTCGTCATTATTAGAAAATAGTTTGAAATTATTGAGTAGTAAGGCCAATAAGAATTGTGTAAATGCTAATGTAATAAGACTAAAAAGCAAATAAAGCTCCCCCAAATCCAGATAAAATCCTTGGCCAAGAAAATTTTTCTACCCATAATACAAACAATTACCCTAACTTTATTCCACTACGGAAAACATAGAGTTCACTGGAGCCTGTGTCACTATCTTTTTCCTTTCATATCCTCCCCACAGCACCTAGTACAGAAGCCTTTATGTGGTAGGTTCATAATCACCCTTTCAACCAAAGTGTACAGGGGCTTCTTCTATGTGGCAGGTTTCTTTGGATCACCAAGAAAGAACAATGATAAATTATAGGTCTTCTGGTATTCTAGTGGAGACTAAGACATCTGTTGAATGAGTGAAATAATGCTATCTCAAGGATGTAGTAAAGTTCTTTTTAATGCAAAGTCAGGCAGAAAAGAACACATTTCCATTTTAACCAAATATTAACCACATTAAAGTAGTAACCATATTTATGAGGGGTGTGAAATTTGATTTGTGCCTTAGTTTTTGTTTTATAAAGCTATGCTTTTATAAAGAAAAAAATAATAAATCTTAAAAATTAAAAGAAATGAAAATCAAATTGTAGTTTTGGAGAGTCAACATGGGAAATCTTAAAGTCTAAGATAACCTTCTTAAGTCATATTTTAATTATGTGCATTTGTCAAGAAACTAAACACTACAAAAGCTTAAATAACCCCAATCTGCTTATATTATTGAATAACAGGTACTGATAATAATGGCCTTAATGCACTGCAAGATTGAAATAAACTCTGAATAATCAAAGAAAAAAAAACCTTACAGTTCTAGAGTTTTAAAAATTACAATGCATTTTTATTTCCTGAAAATTTACAATCCATGTAAGATATGTGTGACTCTCCATTAACCTAAATATTAAATTAACTTCTCATTCCTTAATTATTTTACCAACACTTGCTTCTCCTCTTCTCCTTCCTACTTTCTCTCCCAACACACACACACACACACACACACACACTCACACACAGAGTCATTCTGTTTTTCTTCTGGCTGAACATAAATGAATCTAAAATATCAGTGCAGAGGTGAATGGGAACATTTAGAATATTTTAACAGATCAAGGGCTTTTTTTTTTTCCTAAACTCTAAAGTTTTACAAGGCATTAGTAGAGAAACTTGAATCTGCTCTTCTCCTCATTTACACTATCACATTTAAATAATGTGTAACATAAGAAGAGTTTTAAAGATTTCCAGAAGAAGACATGGTTTATTTACTCAAATAACTATAATTTTGTTCATAAAATATCAAAAGAATTCATTAAGACCTTTATCACTGAAACAGCACTGTCATTAACAGCAAAGTGTTTCTTAGGCTGATGTTACAGGCTTTTAAGCCTGTGCCCCTCACTTTTTAATCCCTTCTAGTTTGACTTGCTTTTCTGAAACTGCCCTTTCAAAGGTTTCTAATCTGATCACCAACTCCAGGATATCTTCTCATTCATCACATTTCTAAACTTCCTAGTCATAGAACTGCATATAACCCAGCATCCCAATCCCCAGTATCTATCCAAAAGATCTAAAATCAGCATTCTATAGCAGCTACATCAAAGTTTACAGCAGTGCATTTCACAATAGTCAAGTTATGGAACAAGAGCAGGTGCCTATCAACAGAAGAATGGATAAATAAAATGCAGTATATATATATACACAATGGAGTTATACAGCCATAAAGAAGAAAGAAATTATGGCATTTGCTGGTAAATGGATGGAACTGAAGAATGTCATGTTAAATGAAATAAGCCAGACCAGAAAGTCAAGAGTTGTTTTCCTCTTGTATGTGGGAGCTAGACCAAATTAAGCAGGGGAAAGGGAGTGAAGGAATCCCATGAAATTAGAAGAGATCAGTATGTAGAGGAAGAAGATTAAGGGGAAGGGAGGAGGGATGGGAAAATCAAGAAACAGTAGAATGAAATTGACCAAACTATCCTATGCACATGTATGATATCACAGTGCTGTTCATCTTTATGTCTATCTATAAAGCATTAATTTTAAAAATTCTAAATAAATAGATGGAAGACTAGTAGAGTAGGCAAAAGGGAATAATGGGCAGGGACAAAGGCAGAGAAATGGGAAAGAACTAGTGATGATTTGGAACAAATTATAGTCTGTGCTTTTATAATTATGTCAAAATGAATCCCTACAGTGTGTGTAAATATAATGCACTGATAAAAAACAAACTTCCTAGTCAAAATTTGCACAGATGGTCTGCTCCTTTTAATTCTCTTTTCCATAGAGCCTATGACATTGAACTTCCTCCCTTCCTCCTTCTTTCTGGTTCTTTCATGACCACTCCTTCTTTTTAAATGTAGGCATTCCCTTAGTTTTATGGTTTGTCCTAATGGAATGGAATGGGCATGTTTGTTGCCTAACTTTAGCCTCTTCTCTCAACAGTCACTCCCTTGGCAATACCATCAGCCTATTACCAGATTGCCTATCACCTACAGGCACTTCTGAATTGTGTCTCTTCATTTCCAACTGAACATTTGAACATCCTACCAGCATGTCACATTCAATACATTTAAAATGAACACGTCATTTTCCTTACCAAACCAACTCCTATTTTTTAACTTTTGCCATTTCTGGTTAATGAAGTCTTCTGCCTCCTCATTATTCAACCCAAGAATCAATCCTTAACTTTTCAATCTCCTTTGCTTCCCCCTTTAATCACTTCATAAAAATATGGTTCCTTGTACCAATGAGATTCATCCCTTTTTTTCTGTTCATTCTATACTCACCACTTTTACTGGCTCAAGTCTTCCTTACATTGATGAAACTGCTTGTTCCACCTTTTGATTTTTTGTTTCTTGCAAGAACTAGCAAAGGACAGCATATAGAATAGAAGGTTAACAAATGTTTATTAAATGAAATAAAGGAACAAGTCTCAAAGTTCTTAGAGACTAGATTATTATATACATACAAGTCACAAAAAATAAACTGCTGAGTTTTCAAACTGGTTCTTGTATTGAGAAGTGAAAAAAATATCTTATAGATGCTAGCTTTAAAATTAAAAGTAAGGGTTAGGTTGTAGCTCTGTGGTAGATAGAGCACTTGTCTAGCATGTGCGAGGCACTGGGTTTGATTCTCAGCACCACATAAAAATAAATAAATAAAATAAAGTCATTCTCTCCATCTACAACTAAATATACAAAATATTTCTTAAAAATTAAAAGTGAATTATATTAACATTTTGGAACCTTTTTTATGGCAGAGCAGGGAGAAAGATTTTACAAAAGATGACTCTTTAAGTGTTTTAGAAAGGAACATGCCAGATTCCTAATCTTTTAAAAAATTCACTAAAATTCTGAAGAAATCTCATTGCTAGGATGTTCACAATTATAATTATTCCAAATCCTGAGGCACAATTTTAAAATCTAGTGATAGTTTTTTAGGCCTAGTATATTCTTTCACCATTCTACTCCTTAAGTAGACAAGCACAATGCCCTAAAAAGTTTCAGTTACTTGAATGTCACTGTGAAAAAGATTATTTTTTGCAGCAACTGTAATCTGAAAAACATTATCAAAATGTAAATGTATAATTTCCTTGTGTTACTGGTCACAAATTCTCGGTTAATTAATTATTTTGAATAACCTATCAGAAATTGTTTCTATGCAGAAGTGTCCAATGGGAACCTTTCTTGTCAACATAGCTTCCAGAAAACCTATAAAAGGCTCATTCCCATATATTGCTTTAGATTTTGACAAAAGTTGAGAACCCTAAAGATATTGTTTTAAATTTTAATGACCAGTTTTAAGCAGGAAAAAAATGAAATTTTAAATGAATACTTAAAAAATCTTTTCTTAGAATTTTCATCCTAGTTAACTATTCTCTGCATCCAGGGTTGTTATTTCCTGACATACATTTTCACATAAACAATACATAGAACAAAAACAATTTGTTTATTCACCACAAGTCTATGCATCACTTGGCAAAAACCTGAAATAGAGTAATGTCAAGAAAAGGTGGTTGCTTTTTAAAATAAAATTATATACATATTTATTATTACAAGAACCAGATTAAGCAACTTGCATCAGTCTTCCTAATGCAGTGATCAACATAGTAAATGTAATATGCCAAGAGCTTGAAAACCTTTAAATCCTCAGACACAAGGATTAGAGTATAAGGTACTTTATTATGTTTGCTTTGTTCCTTTACTCTTAACCTGAAAATCAATTTTTCTAGGTTTGGTGATATAAGGAATCAAAAAATGAAATTAGCTAGAATCAAATAACACTATGATGTAAACAATCTGAAGCAACACTTTACATTTGAGAACTTATAGATGAGATGAAATTTTTGTCATCTATTAAACACATTTTTTAAATCCCTGTTGATACAAGAAGGAGATTCCAATGTTTTCTCTAGTAGAGTAATGAATTAAATGGAAAATACTCATTAATTTCCCGAGCCCCCTTGTGAGGCAAGAAAATGACATTCTCATCTAACAACTAAAAAAACTGAAGAGCTACTAGAGGTAACTGTGCTCAATTGCAAAGGATTAAATTTAAAAAGCTCAATATACCCTAAGAGGTGGTATTTCATACACATATACCCTCTCTATTATTTTTAAGGATTCAGGATCTGTTTCTTAAAACACAAACCTAGTTAAACTCTTGGATCTTAGTCCTATAGCTTTCTGCAGAGTAAATTATTGCCTCATGGCTTGACAGTACAGTTGCCCTCTTAATTTACTTTTAAATAGCTTTTCCCTAATCCATACAACCTAATATCTAGTCCATCGTAAGTCTTCACAAACTTAAATTTAAGTCTTTTATTTTAAAAATTCAGTAAATAATTGTTCTTTGAAAAGTAAATTGAGACAATAATTGGGAAATAAAAGGAAAAGAACAAACTGAATTTTGTATTCTATAAAAATAAATCGGACATTTCACTTAGAAGTTGCAAACTATCATAGTTTTGAGTTCCGAATTCATGTTTCGCAAACAAAAAGAAAGTTCAATTGTTTTCCATTAAAAAAAAATTGAAATTCACTTAAAAGTTGTAAACTGACATGTAGTTTTGATTTCTGCTCAATTCATTTGTCTTTTAAAAAGCGAAATGTTTCATTTGGATGGAAATGTCCTCAAGTTACTTTGAGTACTGCTCTAGTATTGATTTTGCTAGATTATAAGAATGCCAAAGTGCCTTAGGTATGTTCTTAAATATATATATATTTTAAACAGGCTAGGCATATTCAAAATCAAATCAAGTAAATTAAACAATGTTTTAGTATTAGTAACATTGGGCTTTGTGTAACAACTGTGACATCATGACAGTGAAGTGGTCATTTTTAAGCTTTAAACAGCGAAAGCTTTGCCTCTGAGTGTCCAATAGAAATGCAATATGTAAATTAACCTATATTATCTGTACGCTGATTGGCTTGAGTTCTCCCGAATGTCACAGTCTCACCACCCAGCAATGAGGTATTTTACTGCTGTCTAGAGATCAAATTATTACAGTAGAGAAGATTTTTTAGTTTTTCTGTTTCATTAAGAGATTATTATAAAGCAATAAGCTTGCAGGAAGAGAAGCAGACGTTTTACATTGAGGATTAATGAAAGCATGTCTGCTTGCTTTTGGGGGGTGGGAAGTGGGGGGTGGTTGCTTAAAATCTTATACCACCCTCACAAAAAAAACTCTTCGGAAATCGTAAAATAAGGAAATGCATGATTCTAGAAGCTCCCTAAGCACCCAGGTATCAGACTATATGTGGTGTCTGTGATATCATCGGACGGTTTGGACTGGTGTAAGTTTTATGTATTCGTTATGTTCCTGGTATTTTTCATCTGTAATAACAAAGGTGGGGGGGGGGAGGAAACTCATACACACAACTGCTTTGACATCACCAACCTATTGGTCAGCCGAACTTGAAAAAAGGGAAAAGAAAGGCTGTTCCAAGGTGGGGTGGAATGCAAGGAATAGCCTATAATTTTTTTCCCCCGTACGCTGAATGATTCTTTAGTCATCTCCGTTAAGGAAGAGTGAATGTAAATTATTTTTGCAATTGTCCTCCGAAGTTAGCTTTTCCCTTCCAAAACGCAGATTTGCGTGCATTCGGAAATAGAGATGACTAACAAAGACAGGGTTGCCCTAACCTGCTTTCCCTTCTTCCCCATTGACAAGCTTTTTGACTGTGCAATTTTTTAAATTCTCTTTTCTTTCTTTTTTCATTCTTTCTCCCTCCCCCCACCCAACCCCCCACCCCTTCCAGCTAACCTGCAAATTCAAAGGTCAGCAGAGGAAATCATTTAAGAAGAATTCCAAAAGAAGCTTCCAATGCTTTGAACTACCCTAAAAGAGAAAGGAAGAAAATGTTCCGGGAAGGCGAGGGTTCCGGGAAGCTGGGGAAGGGGCGGGCGTCCGGGGCACGGCGGCTTCCTTGTGCGCTGCCCTAAGGGAAGAGGATGGGCCTGAGGTCCTGAATGAGCCTTTCCAAGCCCCCACTTAAAATGCAGGGAGAGAAAAGTTCAGAAGCAGCCACAAGGTGACAAAAGCCTAATGCTGTCAGTTGAACTGGACAGGGCATTCAACAAACCCAGCTAGCTCTGGAGACGCAAACAGGCTCCCGGGGCACCACAGAGGCTGAGGCAGCCCCTGCTGCCGCCCTCGCCACCGCGTCGCCGCCGCCGCCGCCGCCGCGGACCCTGCGTTACTGGGGGAGACAGTGCCGCTGCGACAGGGGAGGACGCGGCTGGAGCTCAAGGAGGCTCCAGCGCGCAGGCGCCGCCGAGCCCTGCCTGGATGCTCAGTCAAGGCACTAAGGCAAAAAAAAAAAAAAAAAAAATCAGCAATTTATAGAAAGAAGAAGCTATAGTCTGTCGGGATATCCAACACCAACAGGTAGGAGGATATACTCTTGGTTAAGTTCGGGGGGAGGGGGTTTGCACAGTGTTGATGAAACCGCAGGTTCACGGGGAAAGAGCCCCCCCGAGTTTTTTTTTTTTTTTTGACATTAAACTGCATAATGGAAGTACATTCAGACAATGCATCTTCAGTAAGGCTTATTGAGAGCTTCGTTTCTGGAAAGCGTTGCAAGACAGGAATATCAGACTGCGAATCACCGAAACCCTTCCGTTGCAGCACAGAGGCAATCTCTCTCCCCATCTTCGCGTATGTAATGCATGTCTCTCTCTCTCCCCCTCCCCCTCCCCCATTATAAATCCAGGGGTGGCGGATTTCAGGTTTCGTAATGTTGCATGATGCGATCGGTATTTACCCGGGGATGTACCGGTGGGGAAATTAAAATCATCGAACGCAGTTTTGCCTAGGCTTCCATCAGCATATCCCCAGCAAGTGAAAAGTGGCTAAGGAAACATGCTTCCGTGGGAATAAGAGAGAAAACCAATTTCTCTGATGTAGCTCCCAGGCACCTAAGAGACAATGTGCATTTTGCTTTAAAATGAAGCCGCTTGGAATTTGCAACAGATTTTTCAGTGTAAATGAGAAGAGCATAATTGTCTAGGAGATACAGATTTGTGTTATATTCATTTGAATACAGGCAGCCAAGGTTTACAGATGGAAGTGCATTATTCCTTTGGGTGTGTTTCCCTGGCCAATATTTACATTAACCATTTTTAATAATCATGTGGGCTTAAAAGAGACAAGATTTGCCAAAAGTTGGGGGATGGGATAGAGAGGGAAAGACAAAGATTAAATCATATCAAATCTTGGGACAACTTCTATTAATTTTGAAGTCTAGTAGTAATATTATGTTTTAAAATGAATCAACAAATACTCATGCAGCATGAACAGTGGCACTTGAGTTTAAAGACACATTTTTGCAGGGTTCTTTGGATCCATATGAGCAGGGAAGCTGCCTGTAAAACACTGACAGTACTAACACACCTCAGAAAAATGTAGGTAGCCTTTCTGTCCCCCATCACCAATCTTAGAGATTTCATTGCAATACTAGTGATTAATTCTTAGACCGGCATATTTTATGACTGTGGAACACTTTATTCCTTTTAGTCTCAAGGTACTCAGTCAAATGTATGTTCTCTAGAATATGGACATTTTTAAAATCATCTAGCTTGAAAAACTAAACAAGCTAATTCCCTGAAATCTCAAGCAAAAATACTTACTGAAGCAAAAACTACTATTTGAAATTAAAACTTTATTTGCTTCTCCATAAATGAACAGCTTTATGTTAGCACTGACATCATTACTTGTTAACTTAAGAACTGATAGCTCATTTTTTTTCCAGATACTCTGATGGCAAATCAAATGGAAGAAAAGAGGAAGCATGACTGCAGATCGGATCAATTCTCTTTGTGGATTACATTTTCAGTAAAATGTATGGATCTATCTTTTCCTTGTTCTTATATCTAGATCATGAGACTTAACTGAGGCTGTATCTTTATCCTCCATCCATCTATGGCGAACTATAGCCATGCAGCTGACAACATTTTGCAAAATCTCTCGCCTCTAACAGCCTTTCTGAAACTGACTTCCTTGGGTTTCATAATAGGAGTCAGCGTGGTGGGCAACCTTCTGATCTCCATTTTGCTAGTGAAAGATAAGACCTTGCATAGAGCACCTTACTACTTTCTGCTGGATCTTTGCTGTTCAGATATCCTCAGATCTGCAATTTGTTTTCCATTTGTATTCAACTCTGTCAAAAATGGCTCCACCTGGACTTACGGGACTCTGACTTGCAAAGTGATTGCCTTTCTGGGGGTTTTGTCCTGTTTCCACACTGCTTTCATGCTCTTCTGCATCAGTGTCACCAGATACTTAGCTATCGCCCATCACCGCTTTTATACAAAGAGGCTGACCTTTTGGACGTGTCTGGCTGTGATCTGCATGGTGTGGACTCTGTCTGTGGCCATGGCATTCCCCCCAGTTTTAGATGTGGGCACTTATTCATTCATTAGGGAGGAGGATCAGTGCACCTTCCAACACCGCTCCTTCAGGGCTAATGATTCCTTAGGATTTATGCTGCTCCTTGCTCTCATCCTCCTAGCCACACAGCTTGTCTACCTCAAGCTGATATTTTTTGTCCACGATCGAAGGAAAATGAAGCCAGTTCAGTTTGTAGCAGCAGTCAGCCAGAACTGGACTTTTCATGGTCCTGGAGCCAGTGGCCAGGCAGCTGCCAATTGGCTAGCAGGATTTGGAAGGGGTCCCACGCCACCCACCTTGCTGGGCATCAGGCAAAATGCAAACACCACAGGCAGAAGAAGGCTGTTGGTCTTAGACGAGTTCAAAATGGAGAAAAGGATCAGCAGAATGTTCTATATAATGACTTTCCTCTTCCTAACCTTATGGGGCCCCTACCTGGTGGCCTGTTATTGGAGAGTTTTTGCAAGAGGGCCTGTAGTACCAGGGGGATTTCTCACAGCCGCTGTCTGGATGAGTTTTGCCCAAGCAGGAATCAATCCTTTTGTCTGCATTTTCTCCAACAGGGAGCTGAGGCGCTGTTTCAGCACAACCCTTCTTTACTGCAGAAAATCCAGGTTACCAAGGGAACCTTACTGTGTTATATGAGGGAGCATCTGTAAATCTTTAGCCTTGTGAAACACTAACCTTCTCTGCTAAGCAATTGTGGCCTATAGCCATATCTTGAGAAGAAATTCAAGAATGGGATCAGCAGTTACAAGGATTTGGGCAACATTCTGCAGTCTTTGCAATAGTTCACCTATAATCCTATTTTAAATCTCAGAGTGATCCTGCTGACTGCTGGTGAAGGTTTGTAATTAAGAAAGGACTGAACCACTGCCCTAAGTTTCTTTCTGTGGTTGAAAACTAGATAATGAAAGTAGCAGGTGCTAAGTATCAGTGCTAAATGCTGTGTATATCACTATGTATGAAAAAAAAACATCAAAAAAACAATTAGCATTGGACATCTTAATAAATTAAGTTGACATGAGGTAAATGTGTTGATAAAAACTAATTTTAGAAGTTTGAAGACTTTAAAACATTTCATACTATTTTTGTTTTGCAAAGACTAAACTATTTGGGGACTTAAAGTACTGTAATACACTAAAGACGTGCCATGAATTATTGGAATATCACACTTTAAAAATCGCCTTGTAAGTTTTGGGGAGATTCCAAAGCAGTTTATTGGTTCCGATTAGAATTTATCTTTTTTTTTTTTGTATTAAAACATTGCTATTTCTAAATACCACTTTCCTTACCTACTAGTGAAATTGCTAGCATTGAGCTGTATTATGTGGTTTCTGTTGATTTAGTATAAAGGTTTTCCAATTCATTTACATTTTACAAATGCTAGATATTGGTCTGGGAGGCAACATTAATGGTACCAGCCAGTCACAACTGAGCGGTTCTAATAATGCAGAATAAACACATGTTGCCTTAAAGGGTTATCTAGTATCCTTCATATTATTTAGCACTGGAGCAAATAGGCAAGGGATATTGAATCAGTAACTGGTCATGGTCATTCATCTGGAAGTGCATGGAAGATCATTTAATACTCTTTTTTCCTTTTTCCTCACATGGTTTGAAAATTAAGGTGCACATCATTGGAATAATGAGATTTTCTTCTGAGGTGTGCTACCCATTCTAGTGTGTTCTAAGAAGCGGGCAGTTGATGTATGTTTATATTTTAAGTCAGCTGTCAAGGGGAGACCACAGCCTTAGTATGATATCCTGCACAATTTGTGAAGCATTTATTCTATGGAAGGCACAGTCCTGTTTATACTTTCTGCACATTCAGTGTATTGGTCGTTTAAATTATTTCAGTTTTAACTTGTGAAAGCTTATAATATGATTTCTGGTATTTTAGAAATACATTAGATTCTGTGAGTCTCATTCTTTAAGAAACAGATGTGTGAACTTCAATATAAAGTTGCATTTGCCAAAATTTATCTGTGTAGCCTGTTAATTTTCTTGGAATAAATTTTACACTTTTGGCATATAACAATCAGTTTTAAAAAAACAATCTGGGAGTCAAGCACAAAGTAGAAAGGCTAATTTATTATGATTTTGGTTTTTGATTTTTTAAAATTTTTATAGCTACTATATTCTGAAACTGGAAATGTTAGAATGATAGCATAAAACTGATAAAGACATAATATTACCTATAAAAGATTTATTTGATAAATTTTCATAATCATCCCTCTGTTCTTACCTACCTATCATATTTAGACTTGTGCACCTGCTTAATTGATTGGTTCAGAATTTTAATACAATCATCACACTTTAATTTGATACATAGTAGAAATCTTGGGTTCTTAATATATCATTTGTAAGGAGAATGGTTTACAACAGCATTTACAAAACCAGAGAAAGTTATTATATTTGTTTCTTTTTCATTGTTTTATTTTATTCATTTTTTTATTTGAAAATGTGAGATTAGGTATTTAGTGAAACAGAATTTTTATTGCTATTATGCCTCTATAAACACAATATCAACAAAAATAAGAAAAAAGTAACTGAATTGTTTCAATGATGTACGTGACTATTGAGTTTTGCTTTTATAAGGACAGCTCAAGCCATGATTTAGTGAGCACTCTTGGCCTTATTTTTACTTTACGCCAAAGTTTATTGAATTTGAGACAAATTTTAATGCACAACAGAGAGAGTTTTATCTAGCAATAAAATCTCCTTCTTGGTACTAAAAACATTATTTAAAACACAATAAAGAAAAATGTTATCCAAAGATGGTTTGATAACATGTTTCCATCTTAAAAACATTTATAGGAGAGACATAATTACAGTGATTACCCTTATGGAGAATTCCATGTAGAGGTTCAAATATCATCAGCAATTGGTAGAAAAGTCAATCATCTTGAGACAAGAGAGAACAAGTTTACCAAGACTCACCTGCACTACATAGATAAGAAAACTGAGGTGGGAATTAAGAGTAGGAAGCCTGAGGAATCAAGAGCAAACACAAACTTAGCTACTTAAAAAGAGAAATTCAAATAGTTTGGGCAAGTGACCAGTCCTAGTGAGCAGTGAATACAGCCGAACTGCAGTGATTCATTTCGGCCTACTTCTTTCTAACTTGACATTTGCAAGCCAAGAAGGAATTAGTGGATAAGACCCATTCCTGGTTATGAGTGGCCATTTGTAACTCAATAAGTAATGGTTGTAATCATACAAAACAGAAGTTGTCCTCAGTGTCTTTATGACCAAATTGCATTGCCTATTTCGGCACCCATTATAATATTTAATATTTAAAAACACTTGGTAACTAATTTAACTTGAAAATTTTACTGATCTTCAACCCATAAAAATGCATTCCCACCAGGGAATCCAACTTCCCAGTGAGAAAGACTCATTATCAATAATAATGTGTCCCTCTTGGAGTAATTACACGTTGGAACTGAGCAGTCTTTAAATTGTTCTCCATCATAGTGGTGATGTGCTTGCATGAAAGTGTCTATACTTTCTTATCTGGTTCCCTTTGTGCACAATGGATTTATTTGTGAGATTCCTAGCTGGAATTAGGCATTCAGTCTTGACTCTGGAGTCTCATGCAGATATTAACTAACACAGAAGGAGGTGAGTAACTTGCCCAGTTTCCCACACAGGCCCTATTTAAATAACATAAAATTAATCATAGGGATTATATTAAAAATTATTCATAGCTAGGACAATCTATTAACTGCATTATCTTCTTCAGATATTAGCTGACTGAATTTCAACACTCGAATTTTCCATGGACTTTAACTCATTTGTTATTGTTAACACATGGATATGGCCACTTATCCATTTGTCTCTACTTCTATGAATGTCATCTCTATTGTTTACTCATTTATTCATTTGTTCAGAAAATGTGTGCTGGGCCTAGCCTTGGTGCTATGGACACAGTGGAAAACATGGCAGAACAGTTTCTCATTGAGATTTCTTAACCTAATGGGAAAGAAACAACAAATATATAAAAGCAATGAATTATGACTATTAAGATAGTAAACATTGTTAAAATGGAACAGGTATTAATAACCATAAGTTGACTGCTTTCCATTTTTCCTCCAGTGTCTTTTCTTCTATTTTGTCCAGCATTTCTTGGGATCTCTTACATCATACTCCCTCAACTCAGACTTACAACTATATTTTGGAACCAGTTTCCATGTTGTTGATTCTATGTACAGATTCTTAATTATTCATGTCCACAAGAGAGAGAGTTCAATTCCTTTCAGAGATTTGAAGGTGAGTCTTTTGTTATGCTCAGATTTCCCTAATGTCAGCATGAGAATCCTGCCTAGGGTGCAATCAAACTGAGGACTTGTGTATGTGCATTGTAGGATTCTTAGGGGACCTCCCCTAATGCCCAAGCAAAGATGGAATTATATGTGAAGTGAGGTGCATTATTTTATTACTGAATTTGTCACCACCCCATCTTTATTGGGAATATGAAAAAAAAGGAATATACTATCAGTTGAAAAGTTGATTTGACCTCTAACATTTACTTCTATTGCAAACACAATGAAACATATTCATAATTACAAAGATATACACCTTTCTACTAAGTCATGTAATGAGTTGTGTTCCAGCTGGGATTACCATAGTATAGTTGTGAACAGAACCAAGTTGACTCTTCTGTGTATTCACCTCAGATAAATTTAAATGGTTTCATTCTCATTTTATTCCATGTGTATCATAGGTTATATGTTTTAACACAAAAATACCTCAGCTTATCTTAATTCATATTAAGAAGAAAAGAAAGAAGCCAACATGATAGATGATCATGTTTCAAAGATTGGCTAAAGACATTATTAATCGAGATAGATGGTTGCCAGACTTGTGGATTATTTATGATTCCCAAATCTTGTGAATTCATTCATTTTTCTATGCAAAAATACATTATTTCTGTTAATGTTCTCTTTTAAATATATTGACTGGAAATTTCAGCATCTACTAAGAGAATTGTTTTTTTTGCTGAAGTTTTTTGTTGTTATTTTCAACTGCAGGCATGCAAATGTTCTGTGACTTTTCTGTTCAGAAAGGAAAATAAAGTTTCTGAAGGAAACTTTACACTTACAACATATTAAAATGATAGTATTGCTCCCTGTTGAGGCACAACTTCATAAATAGTTTGTATAGTTGTTAAAATGAAGACATTATTTATACATTGCTGTATGATGATGATGATGATGATGATGATGATTTTGCCACCAGCAAAATAGTTGATAAGTTAAAGGCATAATGAAAATTGGAGAAAGATAGGGAAGATTTGGGGGAGAGGGTCGATAATTCTTGCCTTATGCTTCTATTCTTAAAAAAAATAATAAAACCAAACGCCTTTAACTCTACAAAAACATTACATAAGTAAGACCTGGTTTTTAAAATGGGGAAGGAGCTTTTACATCATCTCCTTTTGCCAAAAGGATGATGTCCATTAGCTGCTCAAACCCTTTGGGTTAAAAAGCTTTTAAAGCCAGTTTTACTCTCACCATAGCAGGCAGTTAATACAAGGACTAGAGCCTGAAAGGCCCCCAGAGGAAAGCCAGGAGAATGTGTTTCCCTCTGAGTGGTTGTGGGAAAAGGCCTCCAAGAAGCCACAGGTAGTGTGGAATTTGGAATTGTTTGCACCCAGCATTCATCGCTAGCCCCAGATCCTTCTGGAGCCACAGGACAACATCACTCTCAGGAAGGCAGGTTTCCAAGTTTGGGCTTGGAAGCAGAAAGCAATTTCTTTTCCTTCTCTCTGGGTTTAGAAAATAATAGATTCTTGACATACCTATTAAAACTGATACTGTAATGCATGTCCCAGTTTTTGAGGTTTTGAATAGATAATGAAATATTGTAACATTTTACTTATATGGGTATCAAAGATCATGGGAGGAGGAAACAGGTCATTTATTATACTATGGGGAAAATTATCATAGTGCTGAAAAATTTTAAAGCTGAGTTGATAATTGATTTGAAATAGCTAAAGTTAATTAGTAGCGTCTTTTCCTAGTTTAAGTGAGGAAAAATCTCACTAGATGAAAGAGGAGTTTGTTCTTTTCTCCTCCATCAAAAAGGAAATTGTTGAATTGAAAGTTTATTTCCCTCAGTGAGAAGAGAATTTTTTTATTTGGTGTAGTTTAATTCAACAATTATGTATTGCGTTTCTATTGCATATAGGTTCTTGGAAAATTACTTAGTCTTCTATGCCTCATCAATCAAAAGGAGATTACCATAGTATTTGTGTTCTAAGGCTAATAAGAAGATTCAGTGAGTGCATCCTCATGAAGCCCTTAGCAGAGAATCTGGCATATTAAATACACTTTACTTTTTACTGTAATAAACTGCACCACCATCTAGCAGTAGAGACATAAACACATTATGAGACAATGTGATAAGTGCCGTAAGGGAGATGTGTGAGATAAGTGTTGAAGGAACACAGACAAGCAATTAACTCTGTGAAGGTGGGAAAAGGAAGGTGAGATAGAAAAGGTGCCGACTGAACTAAGCCTTGGAAGATAATTTTAATTTCATCTGCTTGACAAAATTAGGAAAGCCATTTAAGATAGAGGGAATATCAAGATGAGCAAAAGGCTGCTGGTGTGTTCAACATTGGGATCCACTAATCAAAGTAGTTCTTGTGATGTGACTGGAGCTTAGGGTCCAGAGTGGGAGAACTAACATGGCATGGTAATTAGCACAAGACTTGAAGCTTTGAGTCATTATTCTGTATAGTAGCTCTATGGTCTTGAACATTTAGGCAAACTTTTTGAGTTTCAATTTGCTTATCTGTAAATTGGGCAATAAGTAGTAGCAACTTCTACTTTTAAAGACTTGCTTCAAAGATTAAATAAGATAATAAACAGTAACTACTAAGCACTTTGTACTAAGCATTATTTTAAACACTTTCCATATATTTACATATTTGATTATCACAAGTAGATGCTATTATTATCTACACAAATTTAGA